TGTGTGTGTGTGTGTGTGTGTGTGTGTTACCCAGATTGTGGACTGCAGCCGGGTAGGCCTCCTTTAAACCTGCCCACTATTCTTGTTCTTTCACACTTTCCTGGTGTCTGACACACTCTTCAAAATCACTGTCCTCTTAAAATTCTAGAGAGATGGCAGGCAGGGGTAAGGGAGCGAGGGCGATTTGGCCTGAGACTGATCACTGGGCGTGAAGTTCCTCTGAGCTCCCACACACCTGCAGACGAGGTCCGAACTGCTGGTTCAGTAGCGTGTCCAGAACCGAGAGTGTCCCAGGCTGGTGAGAGGGCTGGAGCCTGAGTCTCCCGCCAGCTTCCTCGATTTTGCATTTTAACTTTTTACATAGTCCCCTTTATTAGTCATTTATTTTTTAATGAAAAAAGTTTTAAGAGCCAAGGCCTTGCTGTGTGGCTCGGGCCAACCTGAACTCCTGGACTTCATCAGTCCTTTCTCAGCCTTCCAAGTAGCTGGGATGATAGGCAGGTGCCGCACACCTGGCTCACTCGTCTACTTTTGATATTTAAAGTAATAGAGTGCAGTAGTTATTTGAGATGTCGCTTCAGGCTTCAGAACACATGTTAGTATTGGCCTTGAAATCAGCAAACAAACGGATGGTTAAATGAGACGAGAGGGGTTTCCAAGTCTTTGATCTGAAAACCTGCAGGTAAAACCGCCCTGGGTTCCTGTAGAGGAGGTGAAGATTTTGATGCCAAGGAAAGCAGCTCAGTGGGCAGGAGGCGGTGACAAAATGTCCCGCAGGAGGCTAGTGCGTCTCCCGGGCCGGCCGACGCCTGGCCCTGTCTGCACACCCCTGTGACGTGCAGATGACCGCAGCTCTGATTCCTGGGAGCCGTCCTTGCTCCCCAGTGTTCACGGCTCCTCCTGGGGTCCTTGAAGACCATGTGGACCTCAGGGCACTTTGTGGAGGTTCATAAAAGTGTTTGAAGGAGTTCCAGCTATTTTCCATATCCCAAAAGGCTTGCCCTCTTTTAAAACGAACAACTATATAAAGTAATGAATTCTCTTACTTTAAAGAAAAAGAATTTAAGTTACTGACTTCTTGCATTGGCTAAAATTTTGGCTTTCTAGGGACGGGTTTCTGGTCCTTCCTAGGGTGCTCTCATCTTTTGGTTTTGTGGTGACTTGCCTCTGGAGAGAGGTAAGAGAAGCACTCGGGTTTTAGGGTTTTAAGGGGAGAGTTAGCTTATTCAGGTGTGTCAAGGAATGAGGAGCCCAGGTTTGTTAGAAACCCAAAGAGACTGGATTAAACAAAGACAGTGGAACACATTTTTATCTAGAAAAAGGTGAGAGAGGAGTTTAGCCGCCTCGTCTCTCTGTAGTGTTAAGAAGTGATGACCCTCAGCTCCTGAGGCTGAGGCAGGAGCATCTCAAGTTCAAAGCCAGCCTCAGCAACTTAGCAGAGTCCCTAAGCAACTCAGC